TCAGTTAGATCTGCATGTTTACTTGTTTATATGTATGTTCACATGTTTGTAGGTTTGGGAAAGGGTTGAGGCAGATCATGTTGTGTGCAGTAGGCCAAGACACCTGCGCAGACTGGGTAGACTGTAGGCTCGGGTCAGGTAAATCTAGTCAGGACGAAGGCCCAACAATCGGTTCGGATAGGATGAAGGCCCCGAAGAGAGCGGTCCAGACGTGTCGAGGGCTTGGAGAGCAGACCAGATCGACTGAGGACCGGGAGTCAGTCCAGTCAGACTGATGGCTCATTATGCATGCTGTTTGCATATATGTTTATATGATATGGTTATATTTGTATGGCGTTGATATTTTGGGAGTAACTCGCTAAGCCTTCAAGCTTACATTTAGCGATTATTGTTTCAGGTACTTCGGATGATCGCGGGAAGGCGAAGGCGTGACCGTACACTTCCTCGATTTATAATTTATGATTTCTGGGAACTCTTATATGATACTATTTGAAAAAAATGTAATAACTTAATGATTTTTAATTATTATAAAAAGTTCAAATTTGGCATGATTCTGATAGACGTTACAGTCAGACTGTAGGCTCAGGAGCAGTTCAGGCATGTTGTAGGTCTTGCGAGACGGACCAGACATACTAAAGGCTCATGTATGTGTGTGTGCATGCATTGTATGTATATTATGGTGTGTGGTATTTCTGGGAAACTCAGTAAGCTTTGGCTTACAGTTGTGGATTAAAATATTTTCGAGGAACCACCACGACGTGGCCAGGCGTTATTAAAAGTATGCTCAGTTTTGGTTACCATGGCGTGGCAGTATTTTAGCCACGGGGTGGCGGGCACCTAATGACCAAAACCTTATTTTTTCAGGTTTGAACCTTACTTAAATGAAAGTGAGGGCTAAGGTTGCTAATCCCCAACCACCATCACTCTCTAGACTCGGAAACCCTAACCCTAGCCTCTCTTTGGTGAATCTTGGACCTTTTGGTGATCTTGGTAGCTTGGGAAAGAAGAAGAAGAAGAAGAAGGTGCTTTAGAGTGTGGATTCAGCAAGCAAGCCTCATCATCTTTCCCTTGTGCATTCTCTAGACTTTTGTAAGCGTCCAAGATCCAATTTTTATGTTACTTATTTCAAGATTTAAGCCTTTTGTCCCTTAATCTTCATTGGTTGGAAATTTGGAAGATTGGATTCCATAAAGTTGGCAACTTTATGGATCATTGTGGCCATCTTAGTGTTGTATGTTCCACATCTGAGGATCCTTGGTGTTTTGGTCCCATGCACAAGCTTTGAGTTTGTAGTTGCCATGTTTTTTACCTAAAATGGAAGGGACATGCATTGGGCATGCATGTCCATAAAGCTGTGATTTTTATAGTCTATTAGGTATATGAAACTCTTCTAGAAACTTTGGAAGAGTAATTCTAATGATAAAGTGCTTAATGAGTGTTTGCATGACTTAAGTTTCCCTTAAGGACTTACGGTTTGATATCTTGACATATTAAGATGTCTTAATGGATAAAGTTGGAAACTTTATCCACCAAGACCAAGGGAAGGACCATATCTGAACTTTTGAGCGCTTGAAAATGTTGGAAAACAGCTTATTATGTTAAGTTGTTCAGACTAATCCCTATAATGTGGCCTTTAAGCTGCCACGGCGTGGCAACTGGGTAAGGACCCGTCTATTTTGTCCTTACGCTACCATGACATGGCTGATGGATGGCTACGACGTGGCAACTCTTTGATTAGGATTTTTGGGGCTGTTGACTTGACCATTGACCATGGGGGTTAACTTTTAACTTTCTAACTTAGTTGACTTTCAGTTAACTTGTAAGTTTGGGATTTGGACTGAGGTTGAGTTCTTACTATCTTATAGGTGACTCGTGGTGTCGGCTTTGATCTCGGGAGGGAGCTATTGTTTTATCTGCTTGATTTCAAGCTGAGTCTTCTTACTATGCTTATAGGTCTAAGGCACCAAGATCGGCCCACATGATTATGTTATGTATCCTTGGGTATAGGATGTTGTTATGCTATAACAATATGATAAATAGGTAGATTTGTTATGATTACCTATGTTTGCTTGATATTGTTTATATGCATATGTCGACATGTTGTGGTTTGGTTGAGGCGGTCCAGTTGTGTGCTGAAGGCCAAGAGGCTTAAGCGGTTGAGTTGATACTATAGGCCCAAGGTGAACGGTCCAGCTACTGTAGGCCTTGTGAGGCTGGTCAGTAGACTATGGACTCAGTAGAGTGTCTAGGCATCATGTACGCCTTGCGAGGCGATCCACGCGAACTGAAGGCTCATGCTTGCATGCATTGTAATTGTATTTGTTGTGTATGGTATTTTGAAGAACTTACTAAGCATTGGCTTATAGTTGTGGATTTCAATGTTTCAGGTACTTCAGCGGTAAAACAAAGGCGTGGTCGTGCACATTATCTCATGGATTTGATATTTGGATATGTATTGATACTCTGTTTTGTTTGATGTTTTGGTAAACAATGTTTTACTGACTTGAGGTTTTAATGAAAATGGTTTTGAAAATCAAAAAAATTTATTATCAGTTTTGTGACGTTACATTTTGGAACAAATGAATTTATTAACTTGGATTCTATAACATGATATTTTTTTACCTTAATAAAATGGAATTTTTTGTTGTGAAATGGGATGTTACATTTTTTCCGTATTTTGTTTAAATTATTAAATGTTGTTAAAGACAATACTTTGTTGGATTATTTTATTTTATGTTTTGTATTTTTATGAATAACTCGTTTGTATTCAAAATAATAATTTTTTATAATTTAAAATGATTTTTTGGTTTTTGAAAAAATGAATTTTCACCATGGATTCGTTTTTATGAACAAAAACCGACCAAATAAACATAACTGATACCCAAAATTTTTAATATTTTTTAGACTGTGTTATAGAATTTGTTGAAGTGTTTACATGCAAGTTGCACTCTCATATTAAATTATAGGAACTAGCTGTGTGTGATTTTTTCATTAAAAAAAACGAAATTGAATGGTTTTTCAACATAAAGAAACTGAAATCATGTCATATAAATCGCAATCAAATGGTTCAAAAAAAGACTGAAATTAAATCATAAAAACTGAAACCGAATGAACTTTCAATCAAAAATTTTAACTTTACGATTTAACATCAGCATATATCGATATAAATGTGTGCTTGTGGAGAACAAAAGCTTATATTTTTTATATATTATCTTTTTATTAATAAAAATAAACACTAATTTTTTTAAAAAACAAACAAAAATTTATAGAGGTTGCGAAAGGAATTTTTAAAATATGGATGGTATTTTTATAACCAAAAAAAATGGCAAAACCAACATTTGCATATCACAACGATGGCAATAGAAAATTATCTAAATACAAATGGTTTTTCAAAGACAGGTTAAAATTAAGTTGTTAAATCGAAAAAAAAAAATCATATCATTATTATGAATTTAATATTTAATATTAAACATAAAAATGGTATATATATATATATATATATATATATATATATATATATATATATATATATATATATATATATATATATATATATATATATATATATTTCAAAATTTTAATAAAGGATTAACGGTTAAATAAATACGAGAGTAAAATGGGATATTAATAAATATAGAAGGCTAATTGCGTCGAACACTAAACTAAAAAAATTTAGTAAATCCAACCATTTTGTATTGTTGACCCAAAAACATTTATCTCCAATAGTAAAAATATTATTTATAACATTTATAATGTTTAACCAACTTAACAAAATATATTAGAGACATACCTACAAAGATGTAATTAAATTCTATACAAGCTAAATGTTGTTCATTATTGTCTAGAATCCATATCTACACAAATTGATTATCAATTTCAAATGTATTATATTTAGGATGTCCTTAAAGTATAGGATAATTTGGGTGTTTGGTCTCTAACTTATTATTTTAATTCGGAAGATCCTTACTGTTTGCTTTTATTACGTGTATGGTCCATGTCTTACCTAAAAATACTATTTTTGCCCTTGATTGTTTTAATTTTTATTTAAATAAACACACCTCCAACCCCACCCCCTCATCTTACCTTACATAACTCACCATTTTCCCTAATTAAATAATAGTCTTTTTAGGTAAGACAGGGACCAACCGCGTAACAAAAATAAACAGTAGCGACCTTCTGAGTTAAAAAAAAATAAGTTAGGGACCAAACGTGCAAATTACCGCAAACCATAGGGACCATTCATGTAATTTACTCTATCTTAAAACACAAGTTTGGTATGAAACAAAAAATCTTAGTGCCAACTAAACCAAATATAAAACTTCATTTGTTATGCTAAAATACAAGACAAGAAGAAAGAAAAAAAGTTGTACCGATAAAAATGCTTTGAAACCCAAACTTTATATGGCAATGTGTTGTTGCACAAGCACAAGGCAACATTTTCTAAAAGTAATGCTGTGAAACCCTAATCTTACATGACAATGTGTTTGCTTATAATCTTTTTTATATTGTTACTTCTTGTTTATTGTTTTCCAGTAATTCAAACATTATCATCTAATAGGAAATTATATGGTTATTAAAACTCAGTTATTTATATAAAGGTTTTCTAACTATTAGAGGTCTTAGAGTTTGTTTGTTTTTAACACTTTATAAGACTATATAAAGTCATTAAATATCATATCTTTTCCCTTGGGATTTTTCAGCCTTGTGTACAATCTCACGTTGTTGATTTTATAAGAGAAATATGATGCTTTGGTTGTATTCTTATCTTTATCCCAAAAAGTTGTAAAGAATAAGATGGGGCAACTTGCTCTCAGTAAGTCTCTCTCGATATCTTGTCATTACAAACAACATAAATACACCATAATCGAAAAAAAAAAAAAAACCTAAAAGTTTTGTCCAATTATGCACATTATGACAAACACAATCAAGTGTCTTACTCATCCGTTAATGCCAAAAAAGAAAAACACAACCACTAAGTTTCATGTCTTTCAATCCAACCTTATAACTCGATTAACAAATCATAAAACTTTCATTAAATGACAAGGTTAGGCTAACCAAAAACAATATTATCAAGCAAATTTACAAAGAATTAAAACGTGTTCAAGAGCTCAAAACATCGCTGACAAACAACAAACAACATATAGAACCCAAGGATTTTGCATTCAACAACACCCCTTAAAATAAAATTTGCACCCAAAAAAAAAAAAAAAAAAAACTCATCGAGGGTTTGGGTTACCACTTTGTCAGTGAGATCAAGACAAACCCCCTTTGCATCTATGTTTCAGCCCACGAGGTTTATAAACAACCAACCCTTTATGTGTCAAGAGAGGATTTTACTGTTTTACCCCTGTAAAAAGCTTACTAAGTTACAAAGCTCCCAATCAACTTGCTCCAAATCAAGAAGCTCAGTCACACCATCTTCAAACATGATCTGTGTGAAAACAATCAAACATAACCGGATTTGTCAACAATCATAAAATATGAGCATAAATGGCAAACAAAAAAACTTATACTTACCAGGTGTTTTCTTGTACTGATGTCAAACCGTTTGATCATACCAAATGAACTAAAAAAAAATAACACATAAACTGTTAAAAAACAAAAGGGTATTCCCGTCTTTTGCACAGAAATGAAGGTATACCTCGTTGAAGCAGGGCGCACTATTCTGAGAACTTCCCCTATGCAATTATGAGGTATTCTTGTTTCATCAATGACATGTCTCGAATATGCTACAAACACAAAACATAAATTGCAACTTAAAAAACTCATACATACATATATAAATAATTACAAAGTGAGTTAGACTTATTACCTGGTTGTCGAACACCATTCTTGTAAGCCTTTATAACATAACAAACAGCAGATCAAATTAGTTTTACATTTTAATCAAACGACACAAAATGAAATTATCGGTTTTTCAAAAAGATTACACCATAATCTTTATATATAAAAAAACCATACATACATACATCTTTCCCAGAAAGAAGTGCTTTTACTTTTGGAGAATTTATAGCCACCTGACATGCAACCATCTTTAAAGCAGTATCTGAAGAAGGAAACTTTGACTTATTTGGTTTGACTCCAAGCTTCTGTCTGCACCCTTTTGCACCACAATGACAGTCTTGGTCTGCACCAAACTGCACAAACCTGATAATTTCATTAAAATTTTAAAAAATGTTGTCTGGTCTGGTTTATAAAAATATTTTTAATAAAATTTAAAATATGGTCATCATACTGATAATCATAGGTCAAATGCTCCCCCTCCTTTATATCCCGAGTTGCAAAAATCCCGATTCTTGTTTCACCATCAATCCGCCTGTTTTTGTTAGAAAACAAAACTATGGTTATTAATTTATTATCATGATTGATTGATGATGAAAGTAAAGATTATAAAACAAGGGGAAAAAAGTAAAAAAAAAAAAAAAAAAAAAAAAAACCATTTTTGCATTTCGGTATTTGGAGAACAACTATGATTTATATATCTTGATTGGTTTCCTTTGAATGTAGCATCAATCACCATGTCACGATTAATCTCACACAAATAAAAATTTGTTTCTCCTTGTCTCTTCATTCTCCATAGCCTTTCCTCACACGTTTTGTCATCAATAACTGCATTTTCGGTAAAAATAATAAATAATGTTTAAAAAATATTTGAGAAAAAACACCTACACACTTGAGAACAAAGTTGGTTACCTTCTCCCACATATTCAATAATAAACTCTCCTCGCATGATGTTTTCCTCAGCAACAACCCCTGACCCACATTTTTCAGTCTAAGAAAGCACATTAGCTTAATAAATAAAATGACATAAAATAATAATAATTGCATCACCAAAATAGATTAATTCTGTTCAGTAATACCTGCACTATCTTCATTTTCTTCATAGGGCGTCTGTGGAATGGTTTATTGAGGCATGAATTATCACATTTACAGTTAGAGGAACAGCTTGATAATAGCATCCTGCAACAGATAACAGAGTGTAAATTACAAAAATCTTGTTTTTGAGGGAGGGTTAAAAGTGTAAAAGTACACAAATTGTATATATACATAAGTAGTCATTAGTTCTTACCCACAGTGGCAATCTCTACCACAAGCTGCAGAAGAACCTGGTGTTGAGGTGCAAGAGCAGAATATTCCATCATCTTCCTCTCTTATTCGTTTCTTAACCTTCTTTGTTAGATATATATCTTAAATCTTGAATAAAAGAAAACACAAGTAGGAACATAAAATGTATAGTATAATCATTCATTCATACACATTGTTATTAATCAAACAACTTGAAAAGGATACTGCGCTTTATGATGCTGTAGTTAGGCTTCCATTTATTCAACCAATCAGGAAGTTCAAATTCAACAGGTTCTCCAATCTCCTTCATCAATCGTTCAAACAATTGCCTGATATCACCAGGTTCAGTCTTCTGGATTAAGCAAACCAATCAACAAAAACAAAAGAGTCAAAACAGTAAGTATACTATCTATAACTGCTGTTACAGCAAAAAAAACACATAAAGATAATCTAATTACACTAAAAACTTTCACAGTTGGACCTTCGTCATGGCAGGCATGGCGTTACTTGAGTATGTATGTAGTTTCGAAATTTTCCTAGACCAAAGAAAGAAGAGATCAGTAAAAAGGCAAAATCGAACCAAATGGATAACTAATTGAAAATTGCAGCGAAGTGAGGAATGGTAACATGAATTTATACAATGCTTCAGATCTAAAAAGAATCTATGTTATAATTTCAAAAACTTCAGTCCTATTCCATAACAAACCTCAAGAAGAAACCCTAGCCGTCTGCCACATCGTCATCGCAGATCTTGATACAAACTGTGCGTGCGCGAGTGTGGGTGACTTTTTGAAACTGCTTTCAGAAAGAGAGAGGATTAGACGTGGATTAGAGAGATAGAGGGGCATGGGTTTTGGAAACCCTGTTGCTGTTGCTGTTGCCGTCAACGATTGGGCGTTTGTATGTAAAATCCAGAGTAACGGTAATGACGAAGAATAGAAGAGAGTGGAGACTGTACCACTAAAAGGAGTTGAAGAAACTACCGCCGGTGACACGGCAGGGGTTGAAGTTGAACTGAATTGGAAGTGGATTTCGTACGCTGCCACGCAGCAGGATTCGCCGGAAGTGATGCAAGATTAGATTTTCTTGTGTTTGTGTTCTTTCCTCAAAGGAAACCGACTCCACCCCTGGCGATCAATGCTCGATTCTCAGTTTGGTCGAACCTGATTAAACCCGTTGAATCAAATAATTACTGTCCGTTCGATTTGAAATATTATCAAAGTACATTATGGTTTACTGTTTAGCGGATTTACATTTATATTTAAAAATTATAAATTTGGTCACGGGTACAATTTTAAGCGAAGGTACGTACGGGTGTACACGGCCTAAGTTCTAGACTTCTAGTGATCTAGTGATCATCACGTAGAGTTATGGTTACGCGTTTAAGGGCTGCCACATCATTCTAATAACTACTTCACTACATGTTTACTCCTATTAGGGTGGTGTTCACTAGTGAATAACTAGTGAACAAAGAGAGAAAAAAGAGAAAAGCAAGAGACAGATAGACAGAAGTCTCGGCAAATGAAATTCTATTGGTCGTAAGAAGGCGTAATCGGCATCAATCCACACCATATTTACTAGTGAGAGGGGTGGTGTTCACACGCCAAAATGCGTGTCACCTCAGCCTTGACGCGTAAAAATAAGTCTCATACCCCTTGGCCTTAGGTGTGGACAACATGTTCTTACATGTTACCACACTTAAAATGTGTCATATCAGCATCCTACTTATACATGAGTGTTATAATACCTAAGGTGGAAATGGGCAACATCTAATAACATGTGATAACACCAATAAAACTTGATTTTTTTTTTAATGTTACCGTTTGAAACAAATGGTTGAAATTATGGCGGTTGAATAAAAACACAGCCAAAATCGCAACATTACCTCCAGTGTTCATCATAACGCATTATAACATAACACCTAATATATATATATATATATATATATATATATATATATATATATATATATATATATATATATATATATATATATATATATATATATATATATATATATATATATATAACGGGGATTCCAGTTGCCCACACTCATCTCTCTAACAAAAGGCATCTTTATCTCTCTATTCTTTCATCATTCTGTTTCTTTTTTCTTAACCGGAGTACACCATTTCCAGTTTTACACAGTCCTGTGAAATGGTTGTGAAATTGTTAAATAATGAAGTAACTTGCTTAAAAATTTTCAGTTTGCACGCATTGTCAAAGACACGATATCTTTTTGTGTATTTATCTCTTTCCAAACTTGAAATTGGTATTTTATCTTTTAAACTCTTTTTTTATAGTTTTTATTTATTTTAACATGTTGGTTGTCATTATTATAAAAAAAATTAAAAATGTCTTACCTTCCAAAAGAAACCTACGTATACTCTCTCTCACGTGCGTGTGAAACCAAGCTTCTATCATCGGCCTTTCCTTCACTTACGACAACCGAGTTTCTCTCCTCTCCACTCCCTTCTCTTCTTGATCCCACACACAGTACATCGTCTGCTCTGACATCGTCATGGAATTCCTTACCCTTGTTGAAATCGGAGGTGATGGTGATGATTGACGAATAGGAGAAATAAATATAAGACCTAGACTCATACATACATCTCTCTCTATCTCTCTCTTTCTCCCTCTCTCTCTCCATTACATGGGAAGAATAGAGATTGAAGACAAAAAAGAAACTCACGTTGATGATGAGGATTGACAAAGAGTAAAAAGTAATCAATGACATATGTGTATCTTTTACGCTCCACACGTATTTGTTATGTAGATGATGAATGAGAGGGTCAAGTGACGGTTGGGGACAGAGAGTGTCGAAATTGTTTTAAAAAAAACATATTTTGGAAGAAAAAAATGATTATATGTGTAAATTTCTAACGTCCCGTTCCTGGTATGCATCAGTTCAATTAATTTTAATTTTTGTAAAAGCTACTCAACGAGTTAGCAACCCTAACTCGTTGAGTAGATGTCAAAAAGGACGCGGGGATTTAAATAGTCTACTCGATGAGTCAAAGCCTAGACTCGACAAGTAGGCATGGCTGAAGGAAACTCTATTTTCGGGGTTTTGTACCCTATTTAAGCATCATATCTGACCTTCATTCCAGCCTCCATCACCTCCAAAACCCTAATCATCCATAAGTGATCTTGAGCTACTACTTGCCATTTGAGTGTTATTTTGTTTCTTTTAAAGCTTATGGAAGACGTATAAGATAGAAGACTCAAGAGAGAAGGAGTAGATCCAGGAGCTACACTTCATTTGCTACATTTTTTTCCAACTTGATCATTCTTCTCTTAGATCTATTTGTTTCCATTTTATGAAAGTTCTGGTTCAAGAACCTTGGTCCTTAGAGTTGGGACATCCCAAGTGGCTTATATCTCAGATCTAGGACCTATGAAGGGTTCCATGGCATAAAGGTGCTAACTTTTTTACCATGGAAGCCCCATGCAAACATATGAAGAAGTTTATGGTCTTTTTAGCCCTAAAAGACTATGCATGGGAGGAAATCTCGGAACTTTATATGTCTAACAGATGTTAAAACTTTGGACCTAGGTTTGTATGTGTGGATTTGAGATTCGATGGCCTTTTGGACAAGATCCATGTCTTATAGGAATTAGGGTTTTGTCTAAACCCTTTTAAAAGAGTTATGGACGGGTAAAGTTGGAAACTTTACCCTTAGAAAGGTCTTTTCAGTGGACAAACGAACTAAGAACCTTGGATCTAGAAGATAGGGGCTTAATCTGTTAAGATGGATAAACAGATAGAAGGACTCGCCGAGTCCATGGGGGGACTTGGCAAGTCGTATCGTGTTGTCCCGATTTTAGTTAATAGAACTCAACGAGTATGTAGAAGGTCTCAACGAGTGAATGAGCCAAGTTGCAACAGAACAGCTCGAAAGAACTCGGCGATTCGAAAGGTTGACTCGGCGAGATAGTCAATCCATAATGTTGATTTTGACCATGGGTAAAATGGTCATTTTACCCTACGAAGAGTTATTAGTTTTTTATTAAGTGTTATTATGGAAATTATAGCCGGAGAGTCGAAGGAGTAGCATACAGGGTATAACACCGTAAATTTTCAAACAAAAATTTCATTTAAAATCACATAATTCTCATAACACATTTCACAAAAATCTCATTTATTTAATTTACAACTCGCAACTCCATAATTGTTTGATTAAAATCCAAGATGCTCAAAAACATAACTCTTTCAATGGTGTGTACAATCAAACTGGTGTCTTCCCGCGACTCTAAGAAAAACCTGAAATACATAACACATAACACGGTAAGCACGAGGCTTAGTGAGTTTCCCAAAATACCACACACAACTCATTAGGCACTCGAGGCTATAACACTATAAGACCGTCCGATCAATGTGTCTTAGTGGGACCCTCCAGTCCCACTCGGGTGGACCCTTGGGTCCTAACTCAGTAAGCACAAAATAATACACAACATAAATCACATAGACATAATGCAGGATATCACAGTGCTCAATATAAACACATAAGACATCTCAATCACACAAGGATACCACTCATGATAAGTATAGTGAGAAGACTCACCTCGACAACAAGCAATCATCCTCGCACTCGAATCTCGAACTAGACACCGCCTAACACATAGGGTAATTATCTCACTAAATACTCGATTCCCGAATCTAAGTAAACCAAAGGTTATTCTTCCACTTTCTAACTCTTGAAGTTGATAAAAGACCATTTTACCCCTCAATGGTTTCCATTAACCATGTCTGACCCAACCCTAAAGTCAACAGCAGTGAGACTCGAGTCAACAGTCCATGTTTGGCCCGACTCGCCGAGTGCACCCATGTGACTCGTTGAGTCCACTCGTTTTCTCAGAAGTCTCGCAAAGGTCCAGCTTAGCTCGTCAAGTTGACCCCAACTCGTCGAGTTATCGCATAATCAAGCTCATCGGGACAAACCCTCACCGACTCGTCGAGTCAGGCCGTGGACTCGGCGAGTCCCTTCGATCTGATTTCTCATTCAGATGTCCAATGTCAAATCTACCATACTAGACTCTAGATCTAGTCCTTAAAGACATAAAAGTCGCGTAAAGTATCGACCTTTACGCTCATGCTTGGCATATATGCCCAAAAATGCTAATACCAAGTCTTACAAAGGGTTAGGTGCTCAAAGTCTAGTCTATAGCTCATTAAAGTTCAGGTTTTTGGGCTCTCAAGACCCTCCACACTTCATATATAGGGTTCCAACCTCAAATGATACACAAAAGGCTCAATGACTCTAAGAAATGGAAGAAAACCCCCATATCAATATCTCCCTAGAAGATGAGCAAGTCAGCATATTTACCTCAAGCAAATACTGTTGAATCTGTGGATCCAAAGCCTCCTCTTGCCCCAACCTCAATACTCTTCACTTCTCCTTCAAGGAATGCACCAACAACCACCAACCTAGCTACTTACTCACTTTCTAGTTCTAATTGCAATTAGAGTTTTCTCTCAAGAGTGTAGGGTAACTGGTGAGGCGGAAATGGGGCATAAGCTGTAACATCCCGTTTTAAGTAAAGTAATTAGATAATAAATCAGGAACTCCGAGAAGTAATTATTATTATTATTTTATATTATTTAAGCCTAAAATCGAATAATAATTAATAAAGTGTTGGTTTCGGGAAGTCAAATGACAAGATTTGAACTCCAGGGGTTAAATGTAATTGTGGGACTTAATTTGTAAAGAATTTTTGGAAGTGGGGGTTAAAAGATAAATTATGGACCTAAGATGAAAGGATCTTGGAAATGTGGGGTCTAAATGGTAAATTTGGGATTTGTTTTGAAAAGAATATTGCAAGGAAGGACCATTTGTGCTATTATGGGAAAAACTGGTGGGAACCGGGTATATATGCCTCATTACCGTCAAACCCTAACCCTCGGGATCCTCTCATCAACCGCAACCACCTTATGCCTCCTTTTTTACCCTCCAGTCGCCACCCTTATCGTGAACCACCTCCGGCTGCCGCCTAGCCGCATCCGATCACTACCATGTGACCTGTTCCGAGCAACCAAGACCAGTGACGATAATTTCCATGACCATAGGAACTTAAGACCACCAGGGGCTAGCGGACGATCCCTGCAGTCGAGTCCTTACCACCAGCTGCTGTTGTGCCGTCGCTGTCGCTAACGGAGCTACCAACGGGGTCAGCAAACCGTTGGCTGTTTGTTGCTAATGCGATTTCCTTTTTCCGTGTCGTCCTTTCTCTTCTCTCTTCTCTGATTGACTACCTCATGCCACCACAGGGGTGGCTGGAATCGGATGCTTCTTCCGTTAAGAAGCCACTGTGGTTAGAAGGGGATGTGGATGTAGGTCTATTTGACCAGAATAGACTCGAGAAAAAAAAACACCATGGCTGTCGGCCATGGTGGTTGTCGTAGATAGCGTTGTTGTGGTCGCCTTCATCCCGCCGTTGTCACACCCCAAAACCATGAACGGAGGAAACGTTCTAGGGCGGAGGACGTCATGTACAGTATCACAACAAGGTAAAGTAGTAAACAAGCAACAACATCATCCATTGCATTAATAATATAATTTTAATACAAGTGTGTTCTGTCAAATTATGATAAACACTAAAGTATAAATCAAAATGAAAGATGAGTCTTGAACGAGCACCATCTTCTCTAAACCTTGCATCGGTACCTGTCTATCGTTGACCTGAGGATACAAGTTATTTTGAAAGCGAGTATCAGCTTTAAAGCTGGTGAGATCATAAGTATTTTAGTGTCTTAATTTGTATGTAAGTATTTGTATGTATGTGAAATGTAAGTATTTGTGTGTATATGAACTGTAAGTATTTGTATGTATATGAACTGTAAGTATGAAACATTTTGAACAACCTAGAAAACCATATGTTTCCTACTAAAAGTATCCTTATACCAAGGCATCTAGTATCTGTGTGTGTGTGTCTATTATAAGAGTGTGTATTTTCCCAAATCCGACTATCATTATTCAAAATATAGCTTCTACATTACCGTGCATCGTGTGAATGTCCACGAAGTGAATGTAATGGGAAAATGAAATAGTACTATGGTGTAGTGACGAACTACAACCGTACTAATTACCTTAAGACTATTGTAATTTTGTAAGTACTGTAGTATTTGTAATAAGTGACTACTTTTGTACTAATATTGCCTTATTTGAGGGATAAGACATAATGTGATAGCTAGATGCTCCCCTGTCAAAGGGTTTTTGGGACCCATACACGACCCCTGCATATATGCAAGTCGTGAACATCCACATTACTATGCTATAGCACCTAGTTATGTCTGTTCTATTATCGTATATGTAAACGCACTCATGTAAACGTACTCATGTAAGCGTAATCATGTAATAGTGTAGTAGTGTACTATAATGTTCTACGTGTGCTAGTTGTACTGTGTGTTCTCTCTCTATCTAGCATGTATGTTTGTTTCTCATCACTATGTATTATGTTTGTTTCTCTTCACTATGTATTATGTTTGTTTCTCATCATATGTATTATGTTTGTTTCTCATCACTATGTATTATGACTCATGTATGAACTGACTCTTTGTATGATTCATTGTTCTAGTATTAGTAAAACCCCAAACTAAGCCTATTGTAG